GTATTTAAATAAATAAATAAATAAAATATGCGTTTTTAATTTTGTCCTCAGGCTTGAACAACAATAAAGAATAAAATAGCACAAACATTCTAAAAAGAAAAGAAATTGTGTCAATTTCTGAATATTACCAGAGCCATCATATGCTCAGGAGCTGAACTATTTGTAAGAAAGATAAAGTTAATCCTACGTTTCAATTCTGAATTTGAAAAAAGATCCGATGCAACTTATGCTCTCCTAATACAAATGCTGGAATTTATGAAAATTTTCGGTTTTCAGCCAAATACGAAGGTTGGTCAGAAAGTAATGGAAAAGACCCGATGCAACTTATGCTGTCCTAATACAAATGTTGAAATTTATGAAAAATTTCGGTTTTGAGCCAAATACGAGGGTTGGTCAGAAAGTAATTGAAAAAGATCCGATGCAACTTATGCTCTCCTAATACAAATGTTGAAATTTATGAAAATTTTCCTTTTTGAGCCAAATACGAGGGTTAGTCAGAAAGTGATGGTAAAATAAAAAAAAAATGAAATTTTGTTCCACAACTTTTCGACCGACCCCCGTATATGACGCAAAACTGAAAATTTTGTTAAATCTGAAAATTTGTATTAGGAGAGCATAAGTCGCAAAAGGTCTTTTTAAAAGTACCAATTTTTAGCGCGGAATCAACTATATCGCAGTCTTGTTTTTCTACATCATTCGGCCTTAAAACGTTTAATTGTACTATTACTCATAATTTATGTTCATTTTCAGTATTATAACAATAAATTAAATTTCTCAAAAGATGTCTTAGTGTTATATTTAATAAGTAAAACGCTGTTTATATCAAAATGAGGTTTATTTAGCAATTTTATTATTTATTTTATTTAAATAAAATACAATTTGTTCAATAATACATTTATTGTTGCAAATTAATAGCATTTATAAGAAACACAACGTATGAACATCGATAGATAAGTATTTCAAATAACAATACATTAATATAAACAAAATATCCAAGATGTAATACATTTTAACGACTTATAAAAGTTAAAAATAAAATACCTGTAAGAGAGACAAGAAAATCAATAAAATTTCAAAGAAAATACATTTATTATACATAAACTGTCATACCATTATTATTTAAATGCAAGATTAGGGAGAAAAAAGCCTCCCTAACCTTCTGTGGCCTCCGCATCTCCCCTTATAGCCACCCTATCCACCCAAAACGAACATTAATTTTGAAAGCGTAAACAAATAATTAATTTAATTTAACAATTATACCAAAAAATCAATTTAGAAACATTTTAAATATCAACCTAAATTATGATTATAAAGATACAACAGTTTATGCAGTAAAAAACAAAATACCTGTAAGAGAAAGACAAGAAAACACATGAAATTTTAAAGAAAATACAATAAAAAGCAAAAATAGAAAATGATGTCTTCGTTCTTCTTATGAAATACCTCATAATCTGAAAGCAAGTAGTGCAATTACAAGGACTAACGACAAATACTAATAGCTTTGGTAGAGAAGATCGGACAGATTTCGCCAAGGCAAGCTGGGCAGTCGCCTATTGCTCCTATTCCAGATAACCCACTGTACCCTGTCTGAAAGGAAGTAACGCTAGAGTAGACTCGCGAAAAGTGTATAAGACACTTTTAAGATCAACTAAATAGCTAAGCCCAAGGGAAGTCGTTCGGGGAGGCCCTCCCTAATTCCACAA